TCAAATACTGGAAGGCTGCTACCATGTCTCCTCTGGTCCTCCTAGACTCTAAACTTTCTTCATATGTTTTAGCTCCTTTGAGGGGGAAAAAGAGGAGGAGAAGCAGGAGACCGAACAATGGATGGAAACGAATCAAGGAGGGAAGCAACCTGGAATTGAGGAGAAACTTCCCAACAGTGAGGACAATGAACCAGTGGGACAGCCTGCCACCAGAAGTCGTGGGTGCCTCATCACTGGAGGTCTTTAAGAAGAGATTGGACAGCCATTTGTATGGAATCATATAGGGTCATTTGCTTGAGCAGGGGGTTGGACTAGATGGCCTCCAAGGTTCCTTCCACCCCCTGTTCTATTCTTCTCCCCCTCTTTTTCCCCCTCAAAGGAGCTAAAACATATGAAGAAAGTTTAGAGTCTAGGAGGACCAGAGGAGACATGGTAGCAGCCTTCCAGTATTTGAGGGGCTGCCCCAAAGAAGGGGGGTGGGGGTCAACCTATTTTCCAAGGCACCAGAAGGTGGGAGGAGAAGCAATGGATGAAAACTAACCAAGGAGAGAAGCAACCTAGAACTAAGGAGAAATTTCTTGACAGTGAGGACAATTAAATGGTGGGACAACTTGCCTCCAGAAGTTGTCGGTGCTCCATCACTGGAGGCTTTCAAGAAGAGACGGGACAACGATTTTGTCTGAAATAGCATAGGCTTTCCTGCTTGAGCAGGGGGTTGGACTAGAACACCTCCAAGGTCCCCCTCCAACTCTGTTATTCTATCATCTGCTCCTCAAACCAAGGACCAGAAGTAACATTCATTGATGGTAGAGGGTCTCCTACTTGAGCAGGGTGGGATGGGGACAACTCGCCGCAGCCAGCTGACCGCTTCCAACTTTCCATGAATAACTTGCCAAGACCAATTCGCCACAGGACAACTTGACAAGGGCCAATAATAATTCAATTCGATTGAATTGTTTAAAGTCATTGGGAAAAAGAGTTTTAGGTTTTGTCCTTCACATTTCGTTCAGCCCCTCCTTTCTTTTACGATCCTCTTCCACTCTTTCTTTGATATTACTGTAACTCTTGTCCCACGGCAAGTCCTCTCCTGGCACATTGGCCAAGGCGAGTTGGCCATGAGTTCTCCCCCCGGGGCGAATAGTTGACAGTTGTTGTCGTAGACCCTGAGCAGGGGTTGGGCTAGAAGACCTCCAAGGTCCCTTCCAGCTCTATCCTGATTGATTGAAATGAGAGGCCAATCAATTCCCGGCTTCTTTCTGTGGTCCTTTTCAGTAGGAACACCTTTTGCAAACCTTCTGTTTTGACCCAACCGTTCAATATTCTGTCTTTTGCTCTTTTTGCAGATTAAAACAAAACCCACCGTCCGTCCAAGATGAAGTGACTAAAGCCCTTGACCGGGAGAGGGCTGCGTCCAGCGAGCATTTGGCTAGGGCCGTCCTGCGCGAGAGAACTTCAGCCGAAGAGGAACGCATGAAGTCCCAGCTACTGGTAAGTTGTATGATTCTTCCCAAGATTATGCGCTTTCAAAAATACCGAAGATCAGGGGTCTTAAACCTTGGCAACGTGAAGTGTGAATACCACTTTATAAGGCCTTGGTGAGGCCACACTTGGAATCCTGCATCCAGTTTTGGTCGCCACGATGTAGAAAAGATGTGGAGACTCTNATATTGCACTAAATCAGGGGCCCTCAAACTACGACCCTTGGGCTGGATACGTGCAATGAACGTTTGTGTTGCTGCAGAGAGTTTCCCCCTGCGGGGTCCATTTGTGCAGGTTGGAGGGGGGCAGAAATTGGGTGAAGGCTGGAGAGAAGTGCCGCTGGTGGAGAAGAGTCAGAGGGCCTTGTTCCGGTGGGACTACATCATGGCCTGGAACTGGCTGACCAACTCAGCCTGCTGAGCTTCTAGGTGCCGGTACCTGGCCTTGCACTCTCACAGGTCTTTCTTCTGCTCGTCGTCCTCAATGAGGTCCTTCCGCTGAGCCTCCTTCTCGGTCAGATCCAATTAGAACTGAGCCAGCTGTTTTGCCAATCCTTTCTCTTGGTGGCTGCTTAGCTCCTGCTTCCTGTTGGGACCCTAAGGAGCTCGGGTGGGCAGGCATGGAGGGGCTGGGAGGGGAGGAGGAGAGTAGAGCCTGGCAAGGCGCCCTTGTTGTGAGCGACATTGAGTTGGCCACGCCCACCCAGTCACATGAACATCTAGCCACGCCCACCCAGCCGGTCATTAGGCAGATCATATTAGTGTTCCGCAGGATTTAAAATTATGAATTTAGTGGTCCCTGAGGTTCGAAAGGCTGGTGACTCTGCTCTAGAGGTCAGTTGGAAAGGAGGAAGGAAATGAAACCATATCCACAGTGTGTCCTGCCAACAGAAGGAAATACTTGTGGCCCAGGGTTGAACTCTGGGGTCCTTAGTGCTCTCTTGAGCTTGGTTGTGTGGTTGTATGCTCTATGTCTTTGAGCACTTTCTGTTCTTTCTTCATGTGGTTCGACTCTAAGCCAGTTTTTTAAAAGCCTGTCTGGACAGAGACACTTGAGCACACCTCACAAAGTATTAATTCCAAAGAGCTGGCTACCATGTCTTCCGTAAGACGGTTTTTCCTCCGCCGTGCCTTTCCCTTTCCAGGAAAACAAGAGCTAATTGCTTGCTTTTTGTGTGGGTAGAGCTTTCTGTGTATTTGTGGGTATACATACTTACCCACAAATGCACGCATGTATTTTTTATTGCATACATCCAGTCCGTCAGACTTGTCAACACTTAAACCTCTAAATAGAAATGATGCTTGGTTCCATTTGTTGAGAATGGTTTTCCCTTGCACATACGTGCTAGTCGTTCCTGACTCTAGGGGGCGGTGCTTATCTCTGTTTCAAAGCCGAAGAGCCAGCATTGTCCAAAGACGTCTCCGTGGTCATGTAGCTGGCATGACTCAACGCTGAAGGCACACACAGCGCTGTTACCTTCCCACCAAAGGTGGTTCCTATTTTTTCTACTAGCATTTTTACTTGCTTTTGAACTGCTAGGTTGGCAGAAGCTGGGACAAGTAATGGGAGCTCACTCCTTTACTAGGGATTCAAACTGCCGAACTGCCGACCTTTCTGATCGACAAACTCTTATATACTGAGCCATCACATCCTATATTGAGAAAGGTATAATTTTATTAGAAGTCAAATGTATCGCAGTAATGCATAGCCAGAACTGAGAATCACTCACTCAAATCCCTGTTCAACTTTTCCCACCCTTAACTGCCTCCCATCGCTGACCACCCCCCCACCCCATGATCAATCAAGTTCAAGCAAGATGTTTTCAGAACAGACCCCCTCAAGCATGTTGGTACGCAGCTGTTTTCTTCTCCCAGCTGGGTGACCTTGAAACAGTGTCTTGGGGAGATACAGAAGTTACTTTCGTTTTCCCCCAAGCATTCCCAAAGCAGTAAAAAGATAATATTTATTTTAAAGTTGGTTGTTGTCCTTCCACATACATACAGTTAGATGTTTTAACTTGGTGAATGATATGGCTGGATGGATGGCTGACTGTGTCAGCTGCCACCTGATATTGGCTTTGCTGTGTGCCTCACTATCATACGGTGGCTGTATTCCATGAACTCTGACAAGAGTGGATGGGAAGATGAATGCTTGGGGGGAAAGCGAAAGTAACTTCTGTATCTCCCCAAGACACTGTTATTATTTTTTACTGCTTTGCTGGACTCTATTATATTTTAGAGCCATCTTTGTTAGATGACAATATAGCACTAACATTCTAGTAAGAGGCTGCCAGTTTGAAACTCTGCAGAAACTTTCTATTATTATTAATTTTCTTCCTCTGAACTATCTATTTATTTGTGGGCTTCTTTTTAAATAAGAACAGGTCATCCTTTCTCCAGGCACTTAGAGGAAAATTCAAGAGCCGAGGTGGCGCAGTGATTAGGGTGCAGTACTGCAGGCCACTTCAGCTGACTGTTATCTGCAGTTCAGCGGTTCTAATCTCACCCGCTCAAGGTTGACTCAGCCTTCCATCCTTCCGAGGTGGGTGAAATGAGGACCCAGCGATATGCTGACTCTGTAAACCGCTTAGAGGGGGCTGAAAGCCCTATGAAGCGGTATATAAGTCTAACTGCTATTGCTAATTGGCAGGAGGCGGTCTCTCAGG